AAAGAAAAACAGAGGAAAAAAGAATGGGAGAAAAACATCGCCTCATCACTCGGCGATTAGCTGATTGTGCGTGGGCCCTAGAACGATTAATGGCAATCTGTATTCTCTCGACACTCGTCTAACGTGACACCCATCGAGGGAGGGGGGAAAGCAAACTACGGCAGCAACGGGGCTACCACTATGCCCTAAGCGCCGAGATTGTGGGAGCGAGAGGGTTCCTTCTACCACCTATGGGGGCGCTGAGTATTCCTAAAGGAAGAACTTAGTAACCTTTTTCTATCGTGAACCGTGTCTTTAACCTGAACAATTTCTACGAGGTTTATTGTTCAAGGGTATTTCTCTAACTCTCCGCTGTCAATCTCTAAACAAGTATGAGTGCACTCTTAGCTTGCAAGTCGTTTTCTTTTCTGAGTTTCAAAATAAAATATGGCCCATCTAACATTGAAAAAATGGGTCGCTGTGCGAGCTTTCAAACATTTCGGCGAGCTCAAAGGTTTCGACTTGACGAGGTCCTCGGGGAGTTAGGGATCCTTTCGACAAGAAGGTTCCGGCTTACTTCGTGATTTATAGCCTACGATCTCGGACATTTACTGTACCACTTCCCTGGAATTAATGCTTTTTGATTTGGTGAAATGTTTGGCGATTCAGGTACCATAACTACTACTTTTGGATACCGGTCATCGCACCACTTTTCGGAGGCGCTCTGGCAGCTTGGAGTTACCACCTTTTCATTGGTGCTCACATTCCCGATCCGGTGCAGGATTACGTTTTGGATGAAGTCAAGCAACCGCTAAAAGCAAGGTGAAGAAGTTCTTTCAAATCTAACACCAATATAACTTTCTACATGGAAAAATAGTAAGGACTAAAGTAAAGGCAGGATGAGAGCACCCATTTTTAGGAACGATGCATAACCGATGCGATCGAGTAAACACGGTTCGAAGAACACATATTGGGTATATCCATGTTATTCATATAGCATACAATGACTAGTTGCTGATGAAGAAGGACTAGATCCACGGAATATTCTTCTTTGTTGTGAAGTACATGGCAACTATCTAGTGAATATTTTTTTTCCATTTCTCATGATTGTTACTAAGTCGATTAAGAATGCGGTTTATCAGTATTAGGTATTGTCTACTAAGTACTAAGAAGTAGTACTAAGTAACAGTTAGAATTTGATTATATTTGGTTGGAGAGTCTATATGATGTGAAGGAAAATGGTATTATTGTGATAAAGATTTCGGAAAACGGCAATCGCTCAGAAACCACTTACTCCACAGTGCAGTGCAATAGAGTACAATACATGACCAAAAATAATTCCTTATTTGAAAGAATTGGATAGTCTTCCTCTGAATACTAGTAGAATTGCAACGACTACAACTTACCTGTGTGCGACAACAATTACATGGTTTCTGAGATTCTTGCCTAGAATGAACCTGTGACCCTCAAGGATAACACAAAGGATGCTGTCAGGTTGGAAAACGATCTAGATAGGGCATAATCACCTGTATCACCTGTCGTCCTGTTGATCATCGACTTCCTCGAGCGGGCGCCAG